GAGATAATATTTTTGAAGATTTTTTTTTTGAATCTAAAAATCCCAAAATCGTTTATACATATAGAAAAATCTTTAATAAAAAATTTAAAAATTTTCAAAGATTTTTTGAATATTTTTCAAACTCAAAATGATAATGTGGATAAAATAAAATATATAATGGGTTTTTTTTACCTTATTTTCCAAATCGCTTAGCAACTGATAACTTGGCAAGACCATATTCTGTTTGTAATTTTAATGATATATTATACTTCTTTAAAAGGTTATTAAATTGATCAAATTTTGATTAAAATTTATTAAAATACAATTATTCTAACGAATTTTTAATATACCTTTACCAAAATTATTATTTTAAAAAAAAATTATATAATGATATCTTTTTTTGTATAATTTAATATTTTATATTATTTATGATATTTTAGATATTCATCTAAATAAATAAAAGGCCTGCGTAAACAAGAAAATTTTATATAAATTATATAGCAAATAAAGCCTATAAGGAAGGAACTTCCAATATCCTCTTCGATGTCGTAATAGTATCGAGCTTTGATATTTAATTAATATTTATTTTAAATTATTATTGATTTACAATTGTTTTTTTTCTTAATTATATAAATAAATGTCGTAGTTCTCTACTTGAGTCATTGAGACTTATAAAACACATTTAATCGTATGCAGGAAGATATAAAATAATATAAATTATTTATATTTTTTAAAAAAAATACTTGACTCTATATCTGACCTTTTATATATAACAAATATATTATAACAAACTTTGTAAAATACCTTTATGGAAAAGAAATTTATGCACTAATCTTTTTAAACGTTTTGTTTTGTTTTTGTAAGATGATTTGATGTGGATGATATACATTTTTATTATTTTGGTATTAATCATTTTTTTTTTCTCTCTGTTTCCTTAAAAATAAATTTTGCAATTATAGATTAAAAGGGAAACCTGTTTATTTTCTTTCAATCTTTCGCACACTTTAGTGTTGTTAAAAAAAGCTCGATTTGAGACGATTTTTCCAAAACGTTCCGATTAAAATATTATGTAAGCATCGAGATTTGGCAGATAGATGTGCAAGCATTTCTGTTGCTTGCTATGAGCAAAATCTTTAGGCTTACATAATGTTATTTATGGTTATAATTTCTTAATCGTGCCGTTTATTAAAATCGATCCGAATCGGGTTTTTAACAACACTATCTCACACAATCATTTCATTCTTCGGGTCCGGGTATCCGTTAAAAATGGTAAGATTTGAAAAAGTGATCCAGATCAGAACCAGGAAAACAAATAATAAATAACTATCCAAGACCGAATTTAGAAATAAAAATAAAATTAAAAAATGAAAACTGATTTTTTTTTTTAAATAAAAAATAAATAAATAAATTTAAATCAAAATATTTTTTTTGAGCAAAGATGTTTTTATTATTTTACATATTAAAATTACAAAAGCATTTCAAAAGATATTGGCATTTTTTAAGGTAAAATTTGATAAAAGAAAAACTCCTCTTCTTTAAAGAAAATTTAAAATTTTATTTGCTTTCAAACTTTGATAATATCAATCTTAAACCAATCTATATACTTAATCCTAAGATTTATTTGCTTCGCTTCCCATATTACTCGTATTTATCTTTGAAAACATTATACAAAATAATAGTTAACATTTTCATTAATAAACCCAGGTTAGAAAAAAAAATATACCCAGGCTGGATTTTTTACCCGAGCCTTATATTTTAAAACCAAAAATTTTAAATAGCTATTATTAGCTATAAAAATTAAAATATTGCACGGCCCATGTACCCGAACTTAGTAGGTCTCTGATTTAAATAAAACATAAAATAAGGTAGGGGGGGTGCGGGCTATTATATGCAATATATTTATTTCGATCCTAATATTCACATAATTTGTATAAACATATACGTTGTGAAGACTTAAGAAATGTACATCCTTGATTAACCAAAACAAATTATTTAACGATAAATTAGCATTTATCTGACAAAAATTAAGATAAATGTTTTGAATTTTTTTTCAGAAGAATTTTAATATTAACGATGAATACGAAATCATTAAGGAATTGAAAAATAAATTTGAAACAACACATTTAAGAAATGAAGAAATTCAGAGACTGTTTTATCAAATTCTTGGACCTTAAAAACAAGAAGAATTTTCTACTACTGAATCCATGGCAAGGAGAGCAAAAAAATTGGTCAAGGAGAAGGAAAAGGGTGTTTTCAATCCAAATATTATAAAAGGCTATTATGATACTATTTTATAGATAATTTATAAAATTTCATAATTCCAATTAAAAGGGGCGTGTATGATGCCTGATTAAAAACGTTTTATTTTAAAAGGTTAAGAGAGAGAACAAATCAAAGAAAATATTAATTTTATGTTATCATATAAAATTATATTCTAATTTTAAAGGAAGATATAAAAGTGAGCTTTAATAAATTTGGAAATGAGACCAATTTTTTTTTCTAAACTAAAGTTGATGGTTTTATTAAATTAAAAAAAAATTCTGATGGTGTAGTAATCAATATATGAATAAAATTAATAATTTAAACCATTGTGAGCTTGAAGTTGGAATCAAAGAGGAATAACATTTTTTCGTAATATCCCATGGCAAATATTACCAAAGGGGTAGGATAAATAGCTACCTTTAGCGTTCTTATTAGAATCAAATATTAAACACCTTATATTCATTTAATTTTTATAAAGCAAATATCACTGGAATTAATTACGCACATGTATAAGATGATGAATATGAAAAAATATCTTGTTTAAAAGATCAATCCCCTTCCCGGAATCAGTATTCATGCTTTTATGCCACTTGGGGAATATTAAGTTAAACTATTTTCATATTGTAAAAATTATTATATGAAAAAAAATGTTTGTCCTCAAACAAATATAATCAAAAATTGATTTGTATTTTTTATTATTTTTATGAGAAGAATTCAATTCATTCAAATAAATTAGCAGAAGATCCCCCCTCCCCTATTTTTTCCCTAGGTCAAAAACTATTCTTTTAAATATTAAACATAAAATATTTGATAGTTTCTGACTTATATTACAATTGTTGATTAATATCAAATATTTATTTAGAATATTTGCAATAGACTAATGATTAAAATGGCATATCTCCTAAACTTAAGCTCGGCCCAACTTGAAAATTTGCTTATTTAATTATTAATCCTATAATCTATACAGGAAAGAAAAAATGCCGATTTAACATTATGACCATTTCAGGTTTTCTATTTCCAGTTTTTGACATGACATTTATAACTTTTAAAAAATAATTAACGATGTATAACTTTAAAGGTCTACGATTAGGCTACATAAAGAAATTTAAATGACGTTTCTAGTTTAATCATATCTGAAGATATTTAAAATGAAAGGGAGATCATTATGCCCAAAATGCCCCGTTTTTTCGACATTCAGAGGCTTGTAACTCAGCCCCTGCTTGGAATTGGGGGCTAAAATTTTTATTTTTCTCATAGTTATAATATATACAAACTCATGTAAAAATTTTAGAAAAAATCTGAGGGGGTTGGGTTGAGAATCGTGTTTTTTTTGTTGATCTGTTGTCATGTTCCCCATATATATGTTAGTGTCAATACGTTTTTTACCGGCAATATGTTATTTTTTCAATTTAAATCATTTTTTATGCGTCTTTTTTGAAATGTATTCCAGAAAGCTATTCCGTAAAATTAAGGGGATAAAATAAAAAGAGTTTTGATTCTGAGTAATTTAGTATGAACGAACTTATATATATTTTTTCTCTCAGAATAAAAACTGAAACGCTAAGAATTTTTTTCCCTTAATCGCTCAGAATTTAAAAAAAAGGACTTATAGGCTCAAATTTTTTACTTGAATTTTCACTACTTGAAGACGATTTTCTGTGCTTTTCCTACATTTTTTAGTGCGGTACATTTTATAGATCTGAGCGCCTTATTTTTTACACCTATGATATTAGTATTATATTTTTTCTGGGTAATAAATTTTTTTTATATAAGAATTAAGAAATAATTCATAAGTCTCTATAAATTAATACTGAGAAACAAAAATATATGAATATTTTTAGATTACAATTTGTTTCATTCACATCTTATAGTTATATTTCATTTTTTTTATATATCTGATTCGGTTCAATAATTTAGTTAATTTTTATTTTTACGATGACAAATATAACCTATTTTTTGTTTTAATATTCCTTATTAATTTTAATTTTTCCCACAAAAATTAGTAATATTTATTATTAAAATTGGAATATTCCATATTAATAATTAATTATTTCCGAAAGAAAGAAGAAAAAAAACAATAAAATTGAACATTGGTGTGTGGATCTTAAGGCGTGTTATCGGTTTTATCCGTTTTATTTCTGTTGCTTTCTTTAAGATTAAACCGTTCGTCAACCTGCATTCACCGTTAGCACGAATTCGCGGAATTTTTGTGGATTTCTATATACTCCTTCACTATATACACTACCGGCCATAAATGATTGCCCACCCTGCATTTTCTTAACATTTTTCTTAAAACAAGACAAATAACACACAATATGAGGTTTATCGAATTTATTTATAAGTTTAAATATTATTGCATAAATTACAAAAAATAAAAGACATAGCAATTAATTAAGATCAAATTTTGTTCTCATCAATATGACCACCTTTATTCTTAATAATTGCTGCAAAAATTTTTGGTAATATTTCGATGAGATTTTTTAAATATTCGGAAGTGATATTGTTCCATTCTCTCTGAAATACTTTCCAAAGGTGCGAATGAGAGGTTATTGGGCTTTTTCGCGCTTGTCGAACAAGGTGATCCCATAAAAGTTTGATTAGATTGAGATCGGAAGACTGGGATGGCCAAGTCATCAACTTGAGAATACCGTGCTGTTGTAGATTTTGTAATTAATCTTTGCATAGGCTGGATGTATGCTTTGGGTCATTATCTTGTTGAAATAAAAAGTTATTCCCGATCAAACACTTTCCTGATGAAATCACATGGTCCTCAAGGATTTGCCGGTATCGCTCCTTGTTAAGGATTCCTTTAATTTTGACAATGTCGGCGGTTGCCCCGGCACCAAGCACCACCACACCATAACAGACCTCCCCCCGAATTTGACTGTAGGAATTATGCAGCGATCGCTCATTCGCTCTCCAGCTGAGCGGCGGATATATCGCCTTCTTTTAGAACCGAAGATTTCGAATTTTGACTCATCACTCCATAAGACGTGGTACCAGTTTGCAGATGTCCAAAATTGATGTTCTCGTGCCCAATCTAATTGCTTGAGTTTATTTATATTGCTCAATAGTGGCTTTTCGACCGCTACCCTACTATAAAGTTCAGAGCTCCTAAGGCGCCTTTTCACAGTTGTGACATTTATCGAGATTTCCCGAGTCAGAATAATCTCCGAGCTATCTCTGAGGCGACAAGGCGTCGATTGCGTTTACTGATCCTTGCTATATACCTATCATCGCAAACTCGTTTTGCGGGGTCTTCCAGGCCTCTTTGGATTCGACATTGTATTATTGTTGCGTAATCTTTTAAATATACAATCGACTGTTCGTTGAGCTAGGGTTAATTCTCTGGCAATTCGGCGATTACTTTTACCACTTATGTGTAAATTAATTATTTTGCATTTAGTTGGAATAGAAATTTCTTTTCTTTTAATCATTTTGGTCGAATGTTCGTTAAAATATTTATAAAGACTGAAAGTTTCTTTAAACATTGATTTAAAACAAAAAAAATCTAGGAATTTTTTTTTTAAAATAATTAAAAATAGGTATTTATAAGCAGATTAGAATGTGATTAATGACTTTCTTCCAAAAAACAATGGGCAACTTAAAATTGTTGCTGAATAAAACTAATGAACCCTATTTTACCAAATTGGTCATTTTTGACATGTTATTTTCAAAGGCTAAAATTTCATAGAAAGATTTATAGAAATTCCCAGATTTTTATTTCTAAACATGTCTAGACATCTTAAACTAATTAATCAATTTGCTTTTACCCAAATAAGTTAAAAAGTATTAAGTTATTAATTTTTTTATGTAAAAATGCAGGGTGGACAGTCATTTATGGCCGGTAGTGTATATATAAACTTTGTAAGATTTAAAAAAAACAGATTTTATATAAAAGAATTAATAAAAAACATGTTATTAAAAACATATTTGTTTTTATTTGAGGTAGTTCAACACCCTACAAATTTGATTAAATATCTTGATTCATCTGACGATCTTTGACGTCATCTTTCGGTAAGTGATTTTACAAAATATTATTTAGGTATGTCATTAACTATTTATCTTCTTTCTTCTTTTTTTTAAAATTAAATTTGAAGAAAAAAAAAATTAAATTTACCAACTAACTTGTGTAAACGAAATTATCTTTTACCTGATTAGTTATATTTTATTAAATTCCTTTTTATCCATTTCTTAAAACTAAAATTTCGGTAATTTAATACTTTGTCTGCCAAGGTTACAAAATAAACAAATTAAATAAATATTAAAATGGCATGGTATTACCTCGCTTTTTATAGCCAACTTTATTTCTGGAATCATGTACTTCTAAACCATATATATCAATTATGATATTGTCCCTTACCCTCCCTCCCTTATACCATACCCCCTCTCCCTAGGTCTTACTACTACCCTCCACCTTATCCTCTTACTTCCCATTTATTTCCTCCATCGCTGTTTATGAAATTTTCTGCTTTCCTTAAAAATCTAATCTTGTTAATGTGAGGCTATTAATTTTAATAGTAATATAAATCAAATATTAACAGATAAATAATTATTTACCAATGGACTATACATATATTTTAGAGGGAATACAACTCAAACAAGTGTTCTATAAAATGTAAATTGCAACTTTTCTAAAATATAACTAACTTTTTTTAAAAAAACTAATTTTTGAAGCTACTTAAATTCACATATCTTGAAAAATGTATAACAAATAACTGGAATCCGTTACTTGTTTGATGTAACATAGCTGTAATCTTAAGTTAAAAAAAAAACTTAAATTGAACAACGCTAGAAATAATTCTGCGCTCGATTTCGCGGCAAAATATACAAAAATGAATGTTAAAATTATTCCATTAATTTATCATGCCAATTCGCGCTAACTGCGAATGCAGGATAATATTACTCTTTCCTCAGTCCATTTTTTTTCTGTCCGAGAGAATTTTTAGATTCATTTTTAAAAAATTCAAATCTTGGGGGACCTAGAAGACAATAATTACACATTTGGTATGTGCCTATTCAGGTCATAGGTGTCCATATTGTTCGAACAAACCCGAGCATATGTATATCCCCTAGGATCTTTTTAAAAAAAATTACTAATAAATCCTATTATGGGAGCTCATTGTTTAGGCTAATGTCTTTTGATTTTTTTTCTTCACCGCCTTTTATACTTCACTAGAACTCATTAGTCGATATTTATTTTTCTATATAAATACAGATATCATCGGGACCAGGAAATTTTTTAAAATTAATGTCTTATATAATTGTTAATTAATATTTATAAGTTATATCGTTTTTGAAAGCTTAAAAAAATGGCTGTGATTTATTATACTGTTATGCCTTAATTTGACAGACAATTTATTTATATGGCAAAAATAACGAATTGAGCAACAAACTTAAATTAATATTTAGAAGCTACATTATTCTTATATCAATATTTAAAAACTTCTACTTATTTTATGGCAAATATAATTAATAGTGGATATTTCCCTACACTAATTAAATTCACTATTTGCGAAAATAATATCAATATATAATTTAACAAAATGATGAAATCAAATTTTAAAAAAATATACAGAAATGTGAAATAGAAAAATGTTCATTATTATTTTAGTATAATATTTGAATAAATTGATTTGGAAAATCCTTAATAAATAGCAGAGACCTACAGGCCCGTCCCTAAGCCCGGCCCGCGTATTTAGACCAAGCCGTATTTTATATTTTTTCAAATAACCCGGGCTGGGTCTAAGAAATTTTTTTTAATACCCAGGCCCATCTAAAAAAAATTAGGGCTAGCCGGATAAAAATATAAAACTCGGGCCAAGTCGGGGCCAAAAAAAAAATCCAGGTCGGGCGATTCAAATGGTACCTCTGAAGGTCTCTGATTAATAGCAACAAGAAATGTGGACCTGGGAGTATGAAGTTGGCTGTGCTACAAAATATTTATGATGATTTTAATAATGACTTATAATATTTGCTAAAATGACCCCATCCTAGTAAAAAAAAAAAATTTTCAATAAATCTTATATTTGGGAAAGGGGAGATCAAGACAAGAAAATTTATGTATCGATTAATGCGGTCTGAGCAGCCCTGCATTGAATCAATTTCTGTCTCTAGCTCAATTCAAAATGTTTGACTAACCAAAAATTTTGTTAAACATGAAATATTGGATTGGAGAATCAGTTTAAAGGAAGGGGGAGAAAAAAATAATTTTTTTTTAAGAGTTAGAAAGGTAAATACTAATAATAATTCGGTGTTTTTTGAAAAGAATATTTTATTAAAAACAATTAGTGGGAAAAATAAAACAATTTAAAAATTTTAGGTAAGTTTAAACTATACGTGGTTGAATCAGACAGTTCCCTTGAGAAACTCTACTATATCCGAATTTTAATATTTATATCATATAAACCCCCTTATTCTTTTAGAAAATTTAAGCGAATTGAGCAGTACATTTTACCTTTGTTCTAGAGATAATTCATATTATTACAATTTTTTGGTGGTAGATGGAAAGGAAAGCGAAGGGTTATAAAAAAATAGAAACTTTGAAATTTATCTATAATTTTTCAGAGATAAGGAGGTCAAAGAAATTTGTAACACTTTTATTTCCTTTAACTTTAAAAATGGGTTTAATTTATATGTATTTTTTTTTATTAAAAATTTTAGGTCTGTCTAAAGAATATTATGATGGATTAGTGGGGCGGGCACCTAAAGTAAGCAAAAGAAAAGTGAGAAATTATGACAATTTTTGCGGTCGAACCTCGCTATTCGACTTTAAAGCATGTATTAGCTCTAGAATTACCACAGTTATCCATGTGATTTGGTACGATCTAATAAACCATAACTGATTTAATGAGCCATTCGCTGTTTCACTTTGAGTAATTATACAAAGAGGGCATAATCTAGATAAAGAAGATTTCGTAAAAAAATTATTAACTTCTAGTTGGTGTTGTTAAATGGCTCGATTTTAAGACGATTTTTAAAAACGGCTAACTCAATATTTTAGCCAGAAAATTATTGTCTAAGCCTCGAGATTTCGTTAATATATGTTCAAACATGTGTGCCACCTATGAGCAAAATCTTAAGGCTTGCATAATAATTTTCCTAATAAAATATCGAGTTAGCCGTTTTTAAAAATCGGCTCAAAATGAGCCGTTTAGCAACACTTACTTCTATAGTCTTTTAAAAAATGAAATAAAATTATTATATTTTTCAGAAAAAATAATAGGTGTAGTATGTTATGTACGTGTATAAATTGAAGATAATCAATATTTTCTTTTGACGTAGAAAAATGAGTATTGAATTATTTATAATAACAAATAATATATAATATATAAAATTTTAGGATTTAATAAAATGATGCAATTTGCTTAGGTCAACAACTATATTTATTTTATTATTTTGATAAAATTTGAAAGAAAAAAAAATTAATTTAAAAAAAAATCAATTAAAAAAAATCTAAATGAAGTAATAATTTTTTTTTATAAGTTTTATATTAAATTTATATAAAAAAAATATTTTCGTTTTTACTAAATTTATGCGGCAAATAAGAAAATTTTTATATAAAAATTAAAATAAATAGACATTATATTGGTAAGTTGTTGACACCTAGAGATTACATTAATGATTGTAAAAAAACAAAAAAAAAGGGCCTTAAGCCATTTTATTAGTAATTAATAGAAAGAAAGAAAATATTAAGAAATAATGCATTATAATTTGATTTTTTTCTTTCCTTTTATAGTAGGTTAGGGTGATCCAGTAATCGCTTAGGGCTTTGAATGTATCATTTGAATTTAATAAATGTGATTATAAAAACCGTTAACTCAATATTAGAACCAGAAAAATATTTGTCTAAGCCTCGAGATTTCACAAATGGATGTCCAAAAATTTGCATCATCTATGACCAAAATCTATTGAGTTCCGTTTATAAAAATCGGTTTAAATAGATCTGCTTAACAACACTTATTAGAACAAGATTTTGGGAAAACTAATTAATTTTATAATTTCATCAATAGGTGTACTTTATATTTCAGACAAATATATATTTTTTAAAATTTACACAATAAAAAAATCTTAAGCTGTTTATAAAGCCCATCCTTGAATATCTTGTGTTAAGAGATTCAATTATATCATCTATAAATTTATTCATAAATAAAAATAAGATAGGGATTTCAGTAAAAAAATAATTTTATTTCAAATAGTTATCGAGTAACATAAATTATATAGTTTAAAAATTTATTATGTGAATTTTTATTGGCCATTAAATATTAAGTTTTGCTTTTATTTTATTCAAATTTTACTTTATATTTTTACTTTATGTTTTCAGTGTAATATATCACTATTTGTATGGTAGAATGGATTTGGATTTAATGTATATATTAAAAAATTGTAATATAAAAAGTCATAAACTTGTATAGCTTTTACAAACAGGCAAGCTAAAAATCGGTGAGGGCCGGCTCGACCCGTGAAAATTTTTTATTGGGTTTAACCAGGCCGGCAAAAATATATCTTATTCACGTTGTTTGGCCCCGCGCGTTATAATGTTTTTTCTATGAAGGAAAACGTCACTAATTTTTTTTAATTATCAACTTTAAAACATTTTCAAAACTTCATCCTAACTCGCCAAAATATTTTACACGAATTATTCGCCCCAAGCTTGGGTTATTCTTTTAGAAATAAGTTTATTTTATTATTTCTTAAAAACCAGAGACCTGGAGCAAGGGCTTTTTTGCGTTTCTGCTACTTTCCGGTTCTGAAAAAGTTCCTGAATTAAATATCTGATTTTATATTTATTTATTATCGAATCGGATAAAATTTTTAAGTAATAATAATACATTATTCTTTAAAAGATTATCCCTGAATTGTGAGATGGGCATAAATTATGGAGTGGTGAACTAATTAAACAGATCGAATTTTGTATTTAATTTATTCAAACAATACACTAGAGCTCTGAGAAATAGGACCGAAAACAATATTATGCATCTCTGATTTATTGCCTAAATATAGGATGCTAAAAAATTACTTGCATTCGTTACCCTATACAGTTTTGCGCTATTTTATAGGTATATTTTTGGAACCTTTGCAAATTGTTCCCGAGATATTTCTGGGTATACCATTCTCATTCAATCAATTTAATTATTCCAGGTCTCCCTGATATAAACCAATATAAACAATATGAGAATACATGTTGATCTTTTTATACCGGCATTTATATTTCTTACCATATTGAATCCATATCTTATCTATTTTTTTAAATCTGAAACGAAAAAGATAGATGTTTTTGGAAAAAAATAAGTATTTAAGACTATACAAGTATCTTCTAAAAAACTATTTCAAGGATATATTTTCTGGTATTACCCAAGTCAGAGAAAATTAAAGATTTTAAAAAAAGGTTCGAACATAATAATAAAAGTATAAAATTTTATTCTTTATTTATTTAAAAATTATATGACAATCAAGTGTAATTTGTATAATTAATTAATTTATAATTATATAAATTGTAAAACATAGTTTAAAAATAAATAAAATCTTTATCCTTCTACCCCCTATTTTAGGTTTAGGACAAAAGTATACAAAATACCCCCAACCATAAAGGAATCATTTAAAAAAAAACATTTTTTAAAATATTAAAATTAATATATAAATAGTTAAATATTAATTGATGAGTCAAGTGACTTACAATTATCATGATTTGGGATTTATTAAATTAACATAATATTATTAGATAATAGTCAATTTTTTAATACTGTAAAACATTGATATTAAAATTTACTAATTCAATATGACAGGAGCGCGACTATGAAATTTATACTCATTTTAAAAAAAAAATGTCATAATTTCTTGATTTCAAATAATTTGATATCTGTTTCGAACCATATAGGCGGATCCATATTCCTTATTATACAAATAAAAAAAATAAATACAAGTTATTTTAAATACAACCGTAAATGCTTTAAATATAATATATTTTAGATGGGGTCGCTATCATTGAAGATTCAGGCTGCATCAAAAAAATAGCCAATAAGATATTAATCAGTCCAGTTAAATTGGTATTCACCCAGCCTAAAAGCCCGTTTAAAAAAAATGGCCAGGTCTTAAACACTCGGTTGTTGGACTTCATTAGTCGTTGGGGATAGAAGAAAGTATTACTCATAAATATAGCGAGTTATGCCTAAAACAATTCTAATAAAGCAACTGAGATTTATTTTCTTTATTACTTCAAGTATATGAATCCCCATATATATGTGAGGAACCAAAGACTAGTGGATCGGTTCGTTTGATATTTTCGAATGAGTATAGGATGAGGAACGGGTAAGAGTCCTACCAACGTACCGTGATGCAAAAATTTCAGTATCTCGCTTTCGTCGTTTGATTTACTTTTCAAGTAAAGCATAATATACAATTTATAAAATATAAAAACAAATATCGTAGCTATAAAGGAAATGCTTTTAAATTCTCAAAAAAAATTTATGAAGTAATCAGGGAAGAAAATGGTAAAATAAAAATTATTTAAATAATTACTAAGTCTAAATTTTAACGTAGAGATAGATAGATAGGTAGATGGATGGATGGATATAGATATATAGATAGATTAGAGATATATAGATAGATTAGAGATAAATAGATAAAGAGAAAGAAAGAAAGAAAGAAAGAAAGAAAGAAAGAAAGAAAGAAAGAAAGAAAGAAAGAAAGAAAGAAAGAAAGAAAGAAAGAAAGAAAGAAAGAAAGAAAGAAAGAAAGAAAGAAAGAATATTACTTTTCAATGCATATCCTCTCTATCTGAGGGATTAAAACTTGCAAAAGTCGTAAAATTGTTTGTAATGGCATCTTTTGTTTTATTGTAGAAGCCTGAATTTGTAAGATAGTTCATAAATACTTATAAATATATCAAGAAAGAGGGAGAAAATAATATTGTACCTTCAGTAACTCCGTATTGAATGTATCAATTATCTAACAAACAAATAAAATTACATTGTCTTAAAATTGTTCATAAACTTATTTTAAAAATAAAATGGCTTCAGGTTGATTAGAAAAAATCATAAAAGTTCACGGTTAGAGAAATTATAAAGATTCGTTCCTGCTCAGCTGTTAAATTCATGCCCGAGTAACTCTATCATATAAACTCTTTATAAAATAAATAACGATCACTATGCTTTTTGCGGAGATAACGTTCATTTAAATGGACATACAATTTATTGATAGTAGTGTAATTAGGAATAAGAAAAATATACCCAAGCAGAATTAGGCTTCCATTTGATTTTGTTATTCCCATTAAACGCGTCATTGGCATCATAAAATGAATCGTTGTTCATAAAGTTGTCCGAGCAGATCTTAAAAAAATTTTTTTAGGGGTTTATGCCCATTAAATTAACGTTCGTCAATGAATAAGAAATAACCCTCATGCAATTATGATCGGTGGTAGTGGTAGAATTCTCGCCTAGCCCCTCATGCAATTATAACATTATACATTTTTTTTCAAATTTTAATTCGCCCCCCCCCAACCAAGGAATTTTCAATTGGGTGTAGAATTTTTTTTTTAAATTATAGGCTAAAATTTATTGCAATGTACAGACTTTTAAAGACCATATTTATTGTACTACTGGTTAAATATATAAATTTTAGAATAAGAATCAGCTAATATTATTGAGCATAATGATAATATTGATTTCGATAATTGTTGTAAATTGATGAATTTTATATTTATTAGACTATAATTTACTTTAAATTGCGCTATATATTTCAATAAAAAACAATTTCAAAATTACAAAAAATAATGAATATATATAATTATACCTTCGATGACTTAATTCCATTAGGATCTTGGACTTCCTCTTTCACTTTATCTAAAAAACCAAAATTATTTATAGATATACTATCTATTCGGGTGGCACTTAAATATAATTTATAATTATAGATAATCTAAAAAGAAATAATTGAATGCCTAGTATACAAGGAATAAATATACCAAGTTAAATATTTTAAATCAGATCAGTTAGTTGGTAGATGGAGGGCGGGTAAAAAAAATAGCAAATTTTTTATATTTAATTCGACTTATTATGTTATTTCGCTCAAAGTTAAAACTGAAACGCTTTAAAAAAATTTTCTTAATTGCTCAGAATTTAAAATACATAATTATCATCATTCTAGGTCCTTGGGTCTAGGTCAAGAGATGGTGGGTAAAAACTTTTTCTAAATAGCCATTAGAGTAAATAAAAATATTAAATTGAATTTATTCAGAAAGGTTTGGACTCCATTTACCAAATATCGAGGCCTACATAATATTATTTTGACTAAAATCTTATCCGGGGTGTTTTTACAAATCGACCCAAATCGGGTGGTATAACAATACTTAAATTCATCTATCTTTTATGCGAATGGGCCATATATCTAGAAAACAATAACAAAATCTGCGAAAAAAAGGAAATATTTATGGATTTAGTTTACTATTATTTTAAAAAAATGTTAAATGTTGACATTTTGATAAAAAATTAAACTGAATCGAAAATTCTTTTAATTAAAAAAAACATTTTCAAAGTGTTTCAAGAGGAATAATTAAAATATTTCGAATGTTTAATTTTATCTCAATTTCATATAACCATTACCATATTTAAAAAAAAATGATTCAGTTTTAAAAAATATATATTATTTTAACCAATAATTGTGGTCCCGAAAATTTATAAATCATATTTAAAAAAAAATAAATATAAATAAATTTTAAAGTACTGAGAAAAAATATTTTAAAACAATTAAGCGACTAGTTATTAGCATTTCATTTTCCTGAGAGATTCATCAATTTGATTTTTCATTTTTATTTTTGTTTTTTTTTCTAGGCAATAAGTACTATTTTTTTCTTCTAAAAACGATTATATTAGGAGCCTCTTATTTATGCTTAAAAAAATATATATATTACCATGCAAATGATTCAATAATGTTTGATCCGTGGGCAAGTTCAACAAATTGTAAAATACTTTTCGTTTTTTGATAATCTGATACACTAAGGTGGAATTTCCTAAACAAAAAATGTATATACAGGATATGGAATATCGATTTCAAGAAATGGTGAGAAGAAAAAAAATTATTGTTCTAGAATCCGATAATCCCCCCGCTCTCAGAATTATAGGCAAAATAGTTCCTATTATTTCAGATATTATTCTTTATGATCGCGGGCACGTCCTCTTTTGTAAATAGAAATCTGTTTAACCGCCTATATAACTTCCTCTATAATAGAATAAAAAAGAAAGAGATTTATTTAGATTTAGCGCACACACTTAATAGAAAACAGAATAGGGTGTCCTAATTCTAAATCTGAATACATGTCTAAACAGAAATAAACTTCAAAGGTAAGACGATTCAGGGCATATCTTCTGCTTTATTAGTTAATATTAAAATATTTTTTTAAAAAAAATATATAAATATACAATTATAAAATTATAAATAAATGAATATACCATCGAATTGATATTGGATCAAATTATTGAGCGTTTCTAAAAGGAAAAATACTAAACGGTAATTGTACGGTTTGGCATAGATGAAATGCGGATCGGCGAATCCCTATTGTCAAAACATTTACGAAATTTAATTTGATATATATATACATAGTTTATTAAATAAATTACGTATTACGTTATTTTATTAAATAAAATCTTATGATAACTTTCACTGTATCAGAGTTTGAAAAAAAAAATACTTAAAAAAAAGAATATTTTTGATCAAATTTTGCCTAAAAAAATGATGCCATATATTATTTGTGGAAAATTTTTATAAATATTTTGTAATTTTAATTATAAATTCTTTTTTCCAATCTCTAGAATTATCTATGTAGAATTTAAGAATTTTTTTTAATACAAAAAATTTAATAATGAGTCATACTTCTAAAAGGTGCAAAAGCTTTTTGGCAGTGATCATGGATAAACCTTTGAGGTATGGCGAAACTATATATAAAAAATTTTTTTTTAAAGTTTTCGTTTTTTCTTCCTTTTTTTTAACTTTAAATTTTCCGTTGTTATATTTAATCAGAGTTTGAAAACAGAAATTGGAAATCATCTTTTAAAAATTTATAGGAACCATTTAAAATTTACAAGATGGTTTATTCTTGGTTTAAATGTCTTTTTTTAAAAAACTCATATCGTTAACAAAGTTTGACGGAAGAAGATCCTGGAATCCTCCCGAAAAATTTTCAAAAATATTCAGAAACGGAAGAACCATAAGTTTTAGTAACAAGTTCTAAACTCTGTATTTAATGTTTTTTTAAATACAATATAGTAAATTAGTCAATATGCGAATTGTTTTTGTATAATAATGACTCCTCCAAGGTTCATGACAAAATTATTTGAGATTTATGGGATAGACATTCTTCTACAGATAATTGAAATACATTTCCGGTAAAATTTCACAATAGAATCAAATGCTTCTTGTTAATATTAAAAAATTAATGACTTTGAGAGGCCGCCAAGGATGATTCTAAGGCAATTCCGATCAAAGGTAAAATTGGAACCAACTTAATATATATATCAAATAAATAGCGAATATAAATTAACTGTTAACTATGATGATGAGCAGGCTCTCGTAAAGATTACTTAGCTTGTAATGTCCTCTCACTATAATCTCGTGAAAAATCTGTATTTAAAGAAAAATATATATAATATATTAAATATGATAGACATTTTATTTTTTTTATCAGAGCTTGGAAACGGAAATACTCTTTAAAAACTTTCTAGAAAACCGGAAGAAAGCAGATTTTTCAAAAAAATAAAAGATTTCATTTGTATAACACTTGATGCCTCATTTTAGAGAAAAACTTTAAAAGTAATCTGGAACAAATATGGTTCAAAAGTTTGACGCGCGGTTACAAGAGTTTAGGTCCCAGGTTATTGCGCCTAAAGATTGGTTAATTAACTTTGCCTTTTAGGAAGGACTAATTATGAAAATAATAATAAAACAAATTAATTTAAAAAGAATGAATTTCTTAAATATATACATAATATATATGTACCAATAGCAAAATGTCGGCGTGATTGAGTTTGTTTGTAGCCGTGATGATAGGAATCTCATTCTTGAATAAATTACCAGAATATGGTTTATTGAGTCGTACTCCTAAGTTTCTTTCCCCACTTAAAACAAGCAAAACGAATATACCGACGTGTATAATACCCATTTTTGCTTGATGAATATGTTTAGTAATTAAAAAAAAAAAGGTTAAAAATAATTCTAAACTTTAAAGATTATTTCGTCATATGAATTGTGTAAGATTTATTCCAAAAATCGAACAGGTATAACGTTTACATTTTTCTGGTGAAAAATCTTGTATAAGGGTTCAAAAATTAATTTCAAGCTTTAGGTATATCAATTAGCTGACAATTTATTCTCTCGCACATATTTGGAATCATATGGAGAAAGTTATATTTAAAGTCTTGAACTGGCGTCCCGTAAGTTCCTACTAGCGCGGTAAAGACAAGATGTTGAGAAATGAAGAGATAGGTACTCATTCTCACTAACTCCTATAACGTTTTTTAAATAGTATATTATGAGGGAACCAATTCAAAACGTCTACCGTATTCTTATTATTCATCAGACCCAAACTGAACTCAAGCCGCTAAAAATGTTGACACCCGAACCTTCGCCGAGCCTTTAAAAAGTCGGCGAATTGGTTTAAACGTTTTAATATCATAACTCTTTTAAAGATTATGATCAATCAATCTAGAATGGGCGATCCATATCGGTTCCCATTTTTAGATTAAACAATTCTATTATAATTAATAATAAATACTGTTAATTTGTTATTTATTTATAAATTATGAATATTTTTAATATCGACAATAATAAAATAAGCGTTAGTTTCTTCATATATGGGCTGAAATTTGTAGGTGAAAGCGTTCGAACCGACTTTTAACAGTTCAAACTAAAACGATAATTTTTTATAAACCGGACCTAAACCTAACCCCGATATTTGGTTCTGTTAGGATTCATGAATAATATTAATAATTTGTCGGCCTTACATTCATCCATTTTGGATTCATTCAAGTGGTACAAAATTGGCAAGATTATGTCCAAAACTTTGTTTGTTTTCATGAGATGTGAAACGAATTTCTAAAAAAATAATAATATAATACAAGTTGCGACGATACCTTGAAAATTTTAAAAATATAATATGCAATATGGCGGCTCTCTCTATAAATGTGAATTTTAAGAAAAAAAGAAATTAACTAAATCGGGGAAATGTCTAATCAAACTAAAAATGATAAATTCTGATGTTAAAATTTCATTTGTCATAGACCCTTCAGAGGTCAAAATTTGATACACGGCCCGAATATAAATTTTTATTTTTTAAATTTACCTATCCCGGGGTTTTAAATCATTTTCAGACCCATTTTGAAAATTATTTCTCCAGTTGATTAATTGATATAATTTAAATTCATCTTTTAAAAAAAAATCAGCCTAGTCTCGATTTTTACTTTTTTAAAATCCGGTCAGAATTCTTACCGTACTAGGCTCACATCCGCGGACCTGCAGATCTCTGATTTTTTAGAGATGAATTAGGTACCCCCCCCCCCCACAAAATATTTTACAATTGGAGACCAGGTGCATGTATCTGTAAAATGTTGGCGTGTCTCAAACGCCTCTGTTATTCCCCAACTATATAGTTACTCAATTGATAAAAATGGCTTAACCAATATCTATAAATGTAACGACTTCCTAATTAACTTCCTAAAAAATTTTTTTAAAACAATATAAACTTTGTTGAGATCGCAGAAAAGCCAAAAAAGAACCATGACCTCTTGATTGAGTTGACATATCTTTACTGCTCCTTTGCCGGAAAAGGGGTTTAAATGCAGGGCTTCCAGGATTCCACCCAAACCATTAACGCCACCATTCTTTAAACCGTTCGTCGTGGTATGATTGACGGGATTGTGGCAAACATTCGAAACGTTGTAGGAGTTACTGAAATTCGGATTGTAAAACGGTAGCGATTCGTTGAGTAACCCAATCATCCCCTTAAGCACGAAATCGAAATCCTCTTCATGATGAAGGCGGCTGAGGTAGAGTGAAAATAAATTTTTGGAATTTTCCTTGTTGCAAATAAAAAAAGAAGGTAAACGATTATTTAATGTTATAAGAATGAAAATAACCGATTTTTATCATTTAAAAAAAAAAAATTTTTTTTGTCAGGAATAAATATTTTGATTTTTATAAATCAATCCTAAAATGAGGATGAAATGTTATTATGTATTAAATACATTTTTAAGCTAAACCAATATGCTTGTAAATAAGGAGTATGCAGCAAAAATATATAAATTAATTAAATAATAGAGTGATGTGGTGTTTAAGCATGAACGAAGGACGAGAGATGACTGGGTGAAGAGACGTTGGCCTCGAAGAAACCCCACGACCAGGATGAAGGGTATATATAACAGATGACATGAGAAAAATGGATTTTACAAATAGCGATTTCCAGAACTGTTAGGAATTAGAGGGGAAACTGACCTATCCGGACAAACCTGGAAAACCGACACTAAACGGAGGAGAAAATGTCTAATTTTAAATAACAAATGTTGTGGCTGAATACCGTATTTTTTGTTTCGGGTTCTTCTAAAGATTTTAAGGAATGTGATTCATAGGATAAAACGACAAGTAAGATATGGAGGCATAACTCTACCAAGACATCTCGATCTTTATCTGTAAGTATTTTATTTTTATTATGGACCAAAATTAGTTGTAAGAATTTGAAATCATCGAATAAAAAAAAATTCTCGCAAACCGTTAATTAAAACTAAAGTAACGAGGATGATAAATTATACCAATAGAATTTATATTTATTTATTTTTCAAAAAACTTTGAGATCCGAATCTGAATAGATTAGCGTACCAATGCGAACTGGAGGCTTGATTACAGAAGCATTCCTTGCCCCTGTCGCAAACTACGTTAAGGAGAGAAGTGAATATGGAAAGTGTGTGCCTGTTAGCCTGACTCGAAAAGTATTCTATCCAGGGATCCTTGGCAGGGGATACGAAATTATTCGCTTCTTCGACAAAGTAATTGTAGTTGTAATCGTCGCTAGGAAGATCGTTGGTGCAACCATTATGGGCTAGGCAAGGAAAAAAAGCATGAGTTTGAAGATGCAAATTTATTATTGAATCGATATCGGTAACATTATCTCTTTGAGTTAAAGGGTGAAATTCAATTATATTACGCGCATGGAAAAGCTTTACAATGATCAAGAAATATAAATTAGATGGGGAAACGGATTTTTAAAAAAAACGACCAGGAAAAGATAAAGGGGTTAACCTAAATTCTATCTTTTCCAATTGCATAATCAGAGTTTAGAACCGGAAGTTGAACTCACGGGATCGAGAAAATTTTAAAAATAAGAATCTACTTTTTAAAATCTTAAATATTTGGAACCGAAACAAGACCCCCCCCCTTTCCTTTTATAAATTAATATGATCATAATTTAATTTACACATAATTATGATAGTGATACCTGTATCTCCCAACTCTAAACTTTGATATCCTCCTGTGGTCTCTTCCGCTCTCAAATCGTTGCCTTCGTTACAAGTCGTATCAGTCCCGCAATCAACTGAAGCCACACAATCCTTATATAAATTTTGGGATAGACAAGTCAGAAGGAGCCTCAATATTTCAACCCTATTGCAGTCGTACTTGAGGCATTTGTTTTGGTTCGAAGAAAACCCCACACCATTTTCCCATATGTATTCGCAACTATCCAAATTTGTTATATCCTCTAATCCTTCCTGCAGAAATATGAACATGTATATTTTGTAATTGAGTTGCATTTTTTTTAATTAAAAATTAAATACATATTTTTTATCACAATATTTAAGTTTACTTCTCTTATACAAGAAAAAATATACCATTAAGTTAAAGAATTACCGGAAAAATTTTGTGAGAACCAACTGTGAAATCAGGACAAAACATTAGATCCTTCAATTTTTTTTTATAAGAATGTAAATAATTAAAAATAAATATGCTTTGTGTTTTGTAAGAGCATAAAGGAAATAATTAATAAGGACAATTAAGTTATTGGATGACATTGCCATAAGACGCTTAAAAATTTAAAAAGAATAATAATTTAATCAATTCCGATATTTCATTTAATGTTTCTTTTTTTTAAAAAAAAAATAATTATGTTACGATATCTCGAATTTTAATTTTAGGCATTTTCGTTATTTAAACTAAAGCTTCCTTTCCATAGGTCCTTCCTGAATGTTTTAAATTCTTTAAAATTTTAGGTTTAAAAAACGATAGTGTTAATTGATGAGAACTATGCATCCCTATTTAAAATTAGTTTTAATTATCGAGATATTCTTATTCATCTAGAATGCGTTGAACGCAAAGTATGGCTATATATATTTCAGCTAAAAAAAAGGGTGTTTTCAGAAAATATAATGGCAAGCATGTTAGGGGGGGGGGGGGTTGATATTCTTTTCAGGGTTTAACACTATATAAGGTAGAGATCTGCAAAAAGTAGGCCCGGCACAAAATAAATCTGGTTTGGGCTGGATCGGGCCATTTTTTAAAAAAATTCAGGCCGGATTGGGTTGGGCCTCAGAAATTTTTTAAAATATATCTAAATTATCAATTTCATGTTGAATTTTATGTAAGATAAAAATATTTGATTCTATCTATAGAAACTAGACGCTGTATAACATATATCGTTTATTTCGAGTTATTTATAAAAATTAATTTCTACATTTATAATAAATTCGGGCCGGGCCGGTAAATTTTTTCAAAAATAATTTCGGGTTTGGACAAGGCCGGCAATAAAAAATTTTAAGTTCGGGCTGGACCTGGCAAAACTTTATTTCGGGCCAGGCTGGGCTCGAAAAATTAGGCCCGATGCAGATCACTAATATAAAGTATTACAACATGCAATTAAATGTTTAAATTTTGAAAATTTGGTTTTATAATATATTTTTTTTATTAATAAGTTTTTACCCATGTATATAGAATCTCAAATAAAACAAACTTTTTCTCACTTTTAATACAAACTTAATTTGACTAAAAGGTTCTAACACCACTTTTTTTAAAATCACTTCAATTTAAAAAAAAATCAGTATATAATAAAATTTTAAAATATGATTTGTTATAGTTTAGGTATATATATCTAAAATTTAAAAAAATTGTCCAAATATCTTAATTTTTGCTAGAGAGCAGTGTTTCTTTTAAAATCACCCTAAAAAATGGATCTGAATGGGTATGGAACTAGGGACATGCCAATGATTTTTAAAAAAGGCTAAGACTTTAGCCAAAATAAAATTAACCAAGTGTGAATTTGCTCACATGTTATAAAAATGTTTGGATATCTATGGGAAATTTTGAGGCCTAGGTAATAATATTTTGGCCCTTAATCTAGTCTTTTTTTTAAATCAGCTAATCAAGCCATAAAAACAAAATACAGTTAATAATTTGTAAATATTAGTTGGTTTTTTTATTATAAAATAATGATTTTTTTATGAAATTGTTTCAAAGATGTAAATAAAAAAACAATATAAATATTGGATTAGTTATCAGATAAGTTTTATTATATGGATCAGATCGCATTGTTGAAAAATTTGAGGATGAAGGATCCTTGTAATATCAGACATCAATATGTATTTTTATTAAAATAAAATATGAAATAGAGAACCCTGTTTATTTAAATTCCCAAACTAGTAATTTGTAAGTGTGCATTTTTTAATAAAATGTTAAAATGCAATTATAAATCTTTAGGTAGAAATATTTAATTCTTTAAAAAAATATATATACATTTAAAAGATTTTCTCCTTTAAAAATCAATATTTAAAAATAATTTCAATATTTTATATTGGTTTTTATTTTACAATCAGTAGTATATTATTAAAATAAATACTTACACATAGGATAGTTAGCAATGTTTTTCCAAGTGGTAAAGGTATCTTAATAATAAGAGATATATATATTTATTTTAGTTATATACAAATTCTTATCTTTTGATAAACAATATTATAATTAATTAGAATCATATTTTTTTTGAAATAATAATTTCAAATGTTAAATTTTGAAAAGAAAAATTAACTTCAGAAATAATTTTTTCTTTAGATGAATTTGACCAAAAAAAATCTTGCCAATCTTCATCTTGAAATATATGAGGCAATATACGAGTAAGCATTTTTAGGCAATTTAAAACTATAATAGATTGAGAAAACATATTAATTACAAAGATATACCAGCCTTCTGATCTAGATTATTTTGACATGATGCTTTAGCAGCAAGATAAATTCTTTCTATATTTTTATAAAACAAAGCAGCTAAATTATAAGGACTCAATTCCTTCATTTTTTTCAATTCGCCAGCAGTAAATAATATAAACATATCTTGAATTTGAATGTTATGGGTTGTCCACAACTGTTCCCAATATGCTTCATCTTTTAATTCAACCTAAAAATACATTATTCATAAAATTAAAGTATGCAACACCTGCGTTTTAGATAATAACTTTAAAAATAGCTTTCTTATAGTCATTTTAACATCATTGCTTTGCATACTTTATCGATTTTTTAAATATTTTTTAAATTTATGAATGCTATGCAAATTATAAATTTTTGCAAATATCATATGTTTTTAATTAAAATAATATAAAATAAAAATATTATTTTAAAAAAAGAGTGACATCTAAAACATTTTTAGTCCTGTCTAGAAGAGTTTTGGGAGGCATTCCTAGGCAATTCATCTATCGGATAGACCACTCTTTTGGCTAAAAATTTAGCCCTCTTTAGCAAAATATACTTAAAGCAGACACACCTAAAGTCAAGTAGTTTGCCAAAAATATTTGCAATTTACAAATTTTAAACATAAAAAAATGTTATAAATTTTTTTAATCTATAGTTAGATGAATATAGAGCATACTATGAACTAAAATTAATTATAAATTTTAAGCATCGAATAAAAATTTGAGAACATTTATACTCGACCAAAAATAAATTTTACATTTCATTTCGTCATTTTATGAAAAAAGTTTAAAACACTTTTAACTAGTTTAATTGCCCAAACTAATGGGCTTTAATCATTCATCTAATGTCCCGTATTTATCATTAATATTTAATTTTCTAATTTTAATAGGATAATGGATAAATACTTTTTCCAATAGAGCATGAAAGTCGAATGGTAAAAAACCATGTTTCCATTAAAATCTAGAAATTATATTTTAATTCTAACATAAATTCAACCATAGTTAGGGATTGCTTCACTTTAAAAGTTTATTTGATTATTAGGCTATAATTTAATTTTCAGTCTAGATCTATAGCCTAGGAGCAGCGTCTGGGAGGGGGGAGGTAGGAGACAAATGCCTCCAAAATATATTGGCACTTTTGGGGGTAGGTATTGATTTTTGGGGGTTGATATTGATTTTTTGGGGGTAGGTGATTAAGATTTTATTAATTGTAAAACTTCTAAAATAAGAAGTGGCAAGATACATGAACATTATAAACATAAAAATCCTCCTATCAAGCCATATGATATGAAATTTACAAAGGTAGCCATCAAAAGAGATAATAATAATTGGGTATCCTTAAATTGTGATATTCCATATAATATCACAAATGGAGTTGAAACCCAGTTGCAAAAAAAGACAATAACATCTTACTTCCAAAAAGTAATATTTTTTATTTATTATTGTAACTAAAGACAATAAATATTATTGAAAATATACCTTAAATTTGTGAATTAATAGAAACTGATTTTTAAATATAATATTTCTTTTATGTTTTATACCTCTCCTCCTGCCTTGATGAAAATTGAAAAACATTTAGGTTTTTAATAAAGGGGTAAAAAAAATAAATATCATGAAGATCTTTGAAGATCGTTACACAAAATTTTTAAAAAATAAAAGATCTCCAAATTTTACGATCTTCAAAGATCTAGATCTTCAAATTCTTCAAAGATCTAGATCTTTTAAGATCGTTGCTCAAATTTTTTTATAAATAAAAGATCTTCAAATTTAACCATCTTCAAAGATCTTGCTCAAATTTTTGAGCTAGATCTCGCTCAAAAATCTTCAAAGAAGATCTTTTGTACAACTCTGATCTGCATCTATCATGCCTATGAATCTTTCAAGTATATTTTCAAAATGTTTTAACATGATCTTCCTAACAAAGACATTTTATTAATGTTTATGATTAACGCGTTCAAAATTTGTGAATTCCCTTTATATTCTATGTTAAACAGTGACACTCATGTATTTTATCTTAACTTTAAAAAATTGTTTTTTTTACATCCTTAAGCTATTTATGGCGTAACTTAATATATTTCAAATGTAATAAGAATTGTTTCTTTCTTTTTGTTAAAAACAACTTTTATATTTTAAAAATCAATTTGTTTATAAACTAATATTAAATTTTTTATTTTATAAATCAATTTACTTAATAAACTAATGTTCAATTTTTTATTTTTAACTTTTAAAAAAAAGATCAATTTATTATAAACTACATTAAATTAAATTGTCAATATATATAGGAAACTTTGAATTATGTGATCAATATATTTTTTAAATTTAAATATCAATAAATTGACGTAATATACGTTTATAACATTTAATTTCTGCCTTTGATTTCTGCAACCTTTTCATTCTACATTCACTTGTGCTGTACCTATCACTTGAATCATCTTGCCATTGTAACCTAATAACTTTATGTTGGACTTCATAATATTTTTAATGGCTGTTTTCTCAATCATGTATTCTTGTAGAATTAATACATATATTAAAAAATTATAATGTAGTTAAGAAAAAAATTACCATTTGGCTAAAATTTTATTAAAAATATAGTTTTTCATAAGTAAACAAATTATATTCATTATTTATAGCAAATCTCCATTATTGAAGATTCACAAATTGTATTATCTCCTCATCCAATCCCCAGTTCCAGTGAGGCGCTTACTTTGTATCATAAGGTATTTAATTTAAATACAAATTATATGATAACTTTTGAAGAAAATAAATTTTATTAGGATTGAGGTATTTTTTTTAAATAAAATTTATATAATAACTTTTGAAGGAAATAAATTATGAGGATATTCAAAGTCCAAGTCTTATTTAGCTATACAAGAAGGAACCAAATGACCCATTTCACTTCATATTATTTAGGATGACAAATATTTTGATTAATTTCATAATTGCTGTAGGCCCTTGTCAGCCATGTACAAATAAATTTCAATATCCTGTTACTCTCAAGAGGTTTTATATAATATATATTTTTATTAATTTTTACCCATTCATTATTTCTATACTGTTATATAGGTGATAACAGTGGTAAAAGATAACGTGGAGAATTTAATTTATAATAATTTTATTCTAAAACTAAAATGTTACTGAAAAATAAATATAAAATAAAGTATATATATATATGTATTATAAAAAAACAATTTAAGCGAAATACATAGTTAAAGGCTATAATAACAATTTAAGTTAAATAAAAGTCAATCGATCAACATTCCCCTTCTTCTGAAAAGCATTTCCATTCTTCTGAAAAGCATTCCCACAATCCATCTGAGCTGTCATAGCAAGCTTGTCGTCCAAATGATTTATCATTTTGATTGTCAAGTTGTTGCATATGTCGTCTTAATCGTTGGGCTTGTTTAAATCGTAAGCTTCATATCTCAGTGGTTATCATTATCTATGTTATTAAATATATATGAAGATTTTGAATGATTTTAGAATGTAGATATTATTGAATAACGTCGTTATAGAATAAGATTCGTCGAGTAAACGAAATAAAATTAATTTAACGAATTTGATTAAGAATAATAGAAGCAGAATAAATTTATCAAATATTGAATATTTGGAATGAAATAAATAATTGGTCGCGTTTTATTTTTATTTTATATTATATATATTTTGCGTTTTAGATAATAGCGATTTACGTTTCTCAATTTTGCGTTTTAGAAGTAGATTTCATAATATATCATTTATTTTTTAATTCCGCGTTTTTATAATATATCATTTTATATTTATTTTTTAATTACGCTTTTTTTTCTTTAAAAAATATTTTTTTTTATAAATGATATGTACGTCTGTACATCCATCTCTCTCTTTAGAAATTTAAACTTTATGCCCTTATTTTTTAATTTAAAAAGTATTTTGAAATAATAATTATTCATAGGATTGCTTTTAGTAAAAAATAATTTTTTGAGCCTCAAATTTTTAGAAAAAGATTTCTTCATCACATTCTTGAGTATTATTCTAGAATGAAGACGTTTAGTTTTTATATGACTTATCTTAGTGATACTTTTAATTGTCTTCAAATTTATATGTCTCAATTTTTTTTTATCGCATTTAGTGTTACTTATAATAGTTTTTTAATTTTATTATTTTCTTTAATTTTTGTTTCATTGTTTTCTTTAATATTTATTTCCTTATTTTCTATAATCACGAATATTTCAAATTTTATTATATAATTTATCTCTTTTAGTTTATAAGAATCTCTTTCATTTTGAATATTTGGTTCTAATTCAATATTTTTCAATATTTGTTACTAAGAGATTTACAATTACAATGATAATTTCTTTTATTATAATGTATTATCATATTTATTGTCTAATTTTCTATTTTCATAATAATTCTCATTATTAGATTTATTAAAATTTTTATTACGAACATTTTTCTTATTATAGGATTCACAGTTATGACATCTAAGGTTAAAATTTCCGCAGTCTCTACAATTACAATTTCCATAATATCTAAAATTATTATTATTGCAATTTTTATTACAATTAATATCATATCTTTTAACAAAGTTTCGTCCAAAGTTGTTTTTAAAATGCTCATTAGGTTTATAATCGTTATAATTTCTTTTGTTATAATTATTATTTCTATTATTATCATAATAACCTATATCACTAGTATTATAATTTTTTTTAGACTGAATTTTGTTAATATGAAATCTATAATGATCCGGGAATTGAATTAAATATGGCCTATCTACATAATATTTTTTAATTATAGCTAAGAATTTATCTTTAGGTAATTCAGTTAATTCCCACATTTGGTCATAATCCCAGAAATCTAAAATACGAAAAATATCAATGGGTAGGTCATCAAGAAATTTAACTGTTAATTCATTATTAAGTAAATATTTTCTAAGGTTATCTAAGTATTCATATATGTCCATTATGACTGATTTATATTTAATTTATGAAGTTATTTTATACAACTCTTTAATAACTTCTTCTTTTTTTTAACTTGGATTTAGAATATTTTGTAAATCGTCATTGGTTTTACTCTATAGAATTCATAACCTATTGTCTAACTATCATATTGGTTCTTGTAATACCCACTTTTAATAATCATTTCCATTTATAACAAATCCATTCATTTCAGTGTCATAATTTTGTGTGTGTCATTTATCAGCATATGCACAATATATATGAAATTTTTTTATATATCATTGTGAGTTATCATTCCGGGGCCGGGGCACCATGTTATATAGGTGATAACAGTGGTGAAAGATAACGGTGGAGATTTCAATTTATAATAATTTTATTCTAAAACTAAAATGATACTTAAAAATAAATATAAAATAA